GAGTTTTGACGTGTCACATAATTATTATCCATATATAAGTTGTGGAGCAGAAAGAGCGTACTAAAAAACTATCCACAACAAATTATTTTGAATCACTTTCGTGCATGCTTCTAATGAAAGATATGATAAGCATGATCAATTATGTACATTATGGGTCTGCTGGGATATGTTATAAGCATGTAAGGTTGATTTCCATGTCCACATGCGTGTCACATTCATACTTTTTGGACGGTTTTTTTTGTTTTGCAACGTTGTTTTGAGATGTGACAAAATGTAGTTAATTAGGGCAAAACTATAGTTTAGTAATTAAAGAGTGAGGATTAATGTAGTAATTAAATAGTGATGATATACCATGCTCATGCTCTCATGTGTGATTATATGCCATGCATGTAGTCGATATCGTTGTCTCAATCTTTAAAAATTAAAATGGAACTTTAGGAGGAGAGTCATGATAGTTAGCGGCTAGTTTTTGTAATTGATGTTATTGGACTAAATTCAGGGAAATTATGGCGGTTGAAAGGGGTTATAGAAAAGTTATTTTTTAGAGTAATTCTCTCCACATCGTTTCAACCTTTCAGCTAGCTTAGGGCACTCGGAAAGTTTTATCCATACCTACCATATTGTTATTGAATGGCTCCTTTTACAATCTGTGTCATTTATACTCTTAATTCATATTGATCTAATAAATAAATAAAAAATGGAACTTAACAGCTTCATGACGTTCATTTTGACTTTAAACATATATGGCATGCTGATGAATTATTATAAATTATTAATTGGGAGATTCACTAATTCATATTGATCTAATAAATAAATAAAAAATGGAACTTCACAGCTTCATGACGTTCATTTTGACTTTAAACATATATGGCATGCTGATGAATTATTATAAATTATTAATTGGGAGATTCACTATTATACCCAATATATGGGCCCAAATTATAAAAAAAAACCATATATGAAATGGACTTTAGAAACATAACCAAAGCTCATCGACAACATAACAAAAAGGCTTTTAACTTCTTATAAATTACAAAACTGCCATCAATTTCTTAAAACAATCACAACCCAAAACCTTATAAAAATACCCCAAACACTTAATATGGCATCAAAGTAATTTAATAATCAAAATTAAATTCAATAAGACTAGATGTCATTTTTTGGGTTTGTTTATAGAAATTAAATGGTGTAGGGTTTATCTATATTATTAGTGCTAATAATGGGTATATGACTAAATATCTCTTTTGAATTTAATTTTGATTATTAAATTACTTTGATGCCCTATTGAGTGTTTTGGGTTTATTTTATGAGGTTTTGGGGTTGGGCTTGTTTTAAGAAATCGATGACAATTTTATAATTTATAAGAAGTTAAAAGCCTCTTTGTTATATTGTAAATGAGCTTTGAGTGTGTTTTTAAAGTCCATTTCATATAGGGTTTTTATTATTTGGGCTCTTATATTGGGTATAATAGTGAATCTCCCAATTTTAAAACCCGGCCTTGTTTAGTAGCTCGATTTGAACTGGAATTGTTTCAATTAAATTGGCTTAATTGAGCAATAATTCAATATGTTTCGTCTTATCTAAAATAATGTGACTCATAAAAATTGACTTGAACCAATCACCAAACAAGGTCCCAAGACTAGCTATTGTCAATAGGTCTAGATAATGGTCATCCCTCTAATGCATATGTAGATATAGCACACCAACAAATTGATGCCTCTATTATTTGGTCAAAAGTTTAAAGGAAGCTTGAAAAAGTTAAGCAAACTATTTTATCATATAGTAGGGATAACTTTTAAATCCACAAATATTCAGACTAATGTCAGCAATGACAAAAAAACATACACCTTTGAATAATTCAGTTAAAATCTCCCAAGCCTCCAACCATGTGACTTAGAGCATCTCCAAGGGAGATGTCAAATACCAAACATTAAATTTAAATTTGATGGCTGATGTGGCAATTTGACATCTTACATAGCTTTACACTCCACCCGATATGTCAAATTAAATTATTATTTTATTACATTTTAGTGTTGATTTATTTTTAATTAAAAAGACCAACAAATTGATGCCTCTATTATTTGGTCAAAAGTTTAAAGGAAGCTTGAAAAATTTAAGCAAACTATTTTATCATATAGTAGGGATAACTTTTAAATCCACAAATATTCAGTATATGTCAGCAATGACAAAAAAACATACACCTTTGAATAATTCGGTTAAAATCTCCCAAGCCTCCAACCATGTGACTTACCCCACGTTACCAAAAGTAGTGGAGTATCTAACCGTTTAATTACTTAAATCAAAAGCCAACTTAAATAAAATATATACAATTAAGATTCAAACCGGAAGTTAGAATCTCTTTACCCATCAACTTATTTTGGAAGTTAAAAAATAATAATAATAAGCGATAGTCTAAATTATAAGAGCATCTCCAACAATAGTAGAAAATAAAATAAAAAATAAGTTAAATACTCATTCCTAGGCATAGTTCTATAAAGAAACTATATACCATTCAATGTATATAAACACACCCAAAAAAACCCAAAACTGACGGGTGTTACATTTTTTAGTTTAATTAGTTAAATGAAATACCTTTATTACCCTTTTAGTATTAAATTAGTTTTTTTGAAATATTCTGGGCACTTTTTCTCTCTTGTCTCTCTCCCTTCACAGAAACCAGGCCGGCCAATTTTGGTCGGCGATCTTGGTGCTTCGGCCACAACCAATCGTGAGATTGGTTGGAAAAGGACCGATAAGGGCCGGCAATCACGTCTGGGCTAATGCTTAGCCACCTCAGCCACTCACGACGCCGTTGCGAGCTCGGAAAGGTATGTGGATTTCGAGTTTTCCTACTTCGTTTTCGGCGACTCCGACGGTTGTTTCCGTCGATCGAGGTATGAAACTTCATCTACTCTTTGTGCTCTAGCTATTTATGTATGTGGTTATGATCGATTTTGGAGTTTTGGAAATTAATCAATACACCCAAGTTTGACTGACGACTTTAGCAGTGTTCCTGGTTGCTTCTGCCACTTTTTGGCCGAGGTCCGATACCAAAAATTACTCCCCCTGTTAGTCTGTACCTGTTGGTATAGGTACTGTAGGGAGTTTTGGGAATTTTCCGTTGCCGGAATTTTCTCAAGACACCCATTGTTGCCGGTAGTGAGTGGCGGCGCATGGGCCACTAATTTGGCAGCCTGTTGTGTTCTAAAATGTGACCCACATCGTCTCTAGCATGACGGTAAGCTCAGATTAGAAATAGGTTATAGTTTGACTTTGACGGTATGTTCGTTTCAGACCTTATCTGCGGTTGTTGGAATGCTAGTAGCATCTGTTTTCTATCAAGAGCTTTCCCTACTTCATTTCTACTCTACTAACCATGTTGGGCTTGAAGGGCATTACCATTGGGTGTTGCAGTTCATAGTGTTTTTTTTTTTCATGGCAGTTTTGGCAGCAACTTGTTGCCAAACCAATCTTCCTGCAGCACTTGTTCTTTCCATTTCAGTTGTATTTCAAGGTTGCTGGTTTACGAACATGAGGTTTTTGCTATGGGTTCCTAGGTTTGTTCCAAAGGGTTGTGTTGTCCATTATGTTTTTTAAGGTTGCTGGTTTAAGAACATGGGGTTTTTGCAGTTGTACATTTTTATCAGACCTATTATGCAAATGAAATGTAGTTATTAACTTCCAGTAAGTGGTATGAACAATTGTTATACTGTTCATACCCTGCAACTGAGTTGATTTCTATGACGTAGTATTAACAGTGTACTTCTATGACATAGTATTAACAAATTTTCAATAACAAAGCATGCTCTATATATAGCTGTGTACTTGAAGTTTATGATATGCAGAATGTGATTTTTACTAGGAAGATAGTTCTATGACATAGTATTAACAGTGTATTTTTTCTTTTTTCTTGTAGAGGTATTTCTTTTTACCTTTGCGATTGTTTCTGGTGAAATTGTGGACAATTGGAGGTGGTTTTTGCAAAGGATATCGGATGTCTTGCTGGGTTTTTTTGGATTTTTTTTGGGTATGAAATGGTATTAACAATGTTTTTCTATGAAATGATATTAACATTGTACTTCTATGACATGATATTAACAATGTATTTCTATGACATAG